CCCCAAAACCCCAAAACCCCAAAACCCCAAAACCCCAAAACCCCTAAGAATTTTCTGAAATTGATGAAATTAGATTCCTAAGAAGTAAGCATCTTAGATGCTATCTTTAATGGAGATTGATACTTGCTGCTCCTATCTCCATCTCTGTTGAAAACAGAGTTATTTCTAACATTGCTTCCTCTAAATCGTACAGAGTTTTTCATATCAACAAAACCTTGGTCAGTATCTCTTGCAAAGGTGCTGTCAAACTCTCCATTACTTTTGAGGGAATTGGCGTATATTTTTCTCTCTCCGTACTCGTCTTGTTTCTTCTCAGGGGAGGAGTACATTGGCTTTACCTCAATAGAGTCATTCTCTTGCATCTGAACATCAGAGTCTAGTTTGCCAAATAGATCATCATCTAAAGTATTTACATCAAATTTTTGCTCTTGTTTCTGTCCCTTTTCCTTCTTAGGTAGCTTCTTCAGTCGGCTGACATTGAGTTCATGGAATCTGTCAACATCAAAGAAGTTATCGCTGATATTCATTCTCTCGATTTCTTCAGCAGAGGGAAACTCCATTTTCTCATCAATCTCAAGCCATTCTTGATTTCTGCCTCTGTCTTCTTTAGTTAGGTCAGGAAGCTTCATGTCTTTGGAATGGTAGGGAGAAACAGACTTATTATTCTTCTTCCAATTCTCAAAGAGAATTTGATATACATAGTTATGCCTGAGGTCCTCCTCAGTCTCTTTCTCCTTTACCTTATTCTTTAGTCTCTGTATCTCTTCAAGATACCGTTTCTTCTGCACATCGTCTGATCTAGTTGTATTTTTAAGCGTCTTTATCTCATCATAAAGAGCTCTTTCTTTTTCAGTAAGGTCATTGGAGACTTTCTTGATCTTTTCGTTAACAAGGTCTTCTACTTTGCCTTTGAAATCATCTGGAACGAATTTGTTCCACCAATCTTTGGACTCTCCTTTGTACCATCTCTCCCATTCCTTTTTGAATTCCCAATGCCTTTTCTTGTCTTTGCCATACATCCAGAAAGGAGGGGGCTTATCTCGCCTCCAAAGGTACGGATTCCAATCTTGATGTTTGATCCATGGAGGAGGGAGGTCAAAATAAGCAGGTGGGCGATCCTTCTCATCAGGAATGTTATACCAATGTCCATAATCACCACTTTTAGCATTAGGATCTCTCTTGCCCTTATAAGTGTTTGATCTATTCCACCAATACCAGTCGTTTCTTCCATAGCCTTTGTAATAAGGATCATAATGTTTGTCGTAGTATCTATCATAATAGTCACCGTAATGATCTCCATAATAGCCTTCGTAGTGTCTATTGTAGTAATAATCATCATCATAGCGATTACCATACCATTTACCTCTTCGACTGCGTCTTCTGCCAAACCTTGTGCCATATCGGGAGCCTAGCCTACCTCCCCAGTAGTAATCGTCCCACCAATAAGGATCATCATTGTACCAGTTCCTGCCCCGGTAAGGTGATTTTGGATAGGAGTGGTCTTTATGAAAATATCTACTCCTGTGGATATCATCCAGAGCCCAGTCAGGATAGAGTCTATAGCTAGACAAAAATGCCTACTTGTTATATTTATCATATTTCAGCTCGGTTAGAGCATCGTTTTCCTCTTTAGCTTTTAAATACTCAAGGTATTGAGCATTAGTCAATCCGTAAGAGGTGCCAGGGATACCTCCTGAACCAACTTGGATAAAATCAGGAATCCCTTGACGAACAGGGGATTGTTCAACACTTGCTAATGTATTTACATTTCCAAGATGTATATTTGGTAATGATTGAGTGCCATTAAGAACTGCCGAAGGAGATGGCACGAACGGTTGTCCCCCTGGCATTATTAAAGCTTGTCCTGATATCGGCTGGCCATCTCCAAACTGAGGATAATTTGTATAAACAATACTGGTTGGTGTTGGAGACACTCCCGGTATAATAAACGGATTCTGGGCATTTATGGTGCTTACTCCATTTCCAGTGTTCACTATCATTGGAGTCCCGATGTTAGACCTACCTTGACTGGAATTAGGAGTGCCGATATTACTCCTTAAGAATTTGTTACTCCGATCTGGAGATCTACCTGCAACTACATTTCCGAACTGGTCTCTGAGAGGTGCTCCTCCGCCTCCTCGAGACTGCGCTCTCATAGTTCCAAGTGTGTTCAAGTGCATATCATCTAGTGTTCGATCTTCATACTTTTGAATAAATTCTTTATTCCTATTTTTCCTGCATTTGTTGCATAAGTTCATCTCTATAAGTGTGGTTTCTAGACGTCTGGACATCTACATGTGCGGACGTGGCTAGGTCTCCCTCAAATACAGACCCATCATCAGTGAAATGATACATTATTAATATTTTTATTCCCTCTTAATTTATTTTCAATAAATTTCCGAAAAATTGGGGTTTTGGGGTTTTGGGGTTTTGGGGTTTTGGGG